CCAGCCCCGCCGCTCCGAGCCCCGCCGCCTTCGGCCGGGCTTCTTGGGGTGCTGGGCCTCTGGCCACGAACCCCTCACCCGAATGGCTCTCGTTCCTTCTTGGTTTGTAATTCAAACTCATCCTCACTGCTCAGGACTTAGTAATACGTGCTCTAGCCCGATGCCTGTGTGACAGGACATCCACTGCGCTGCCCGGTAAGCCCGATAGCTTTATCTGATGGCAATATTAATGTAATTTCCTTTATTTAATGGCAATACCAGTGTAATTTCCAGTACCCTCATGTAAAATAAACCCCTCTAGATTGCGTAGCAATAAAGCTGCAAGCTTTATCCCGAGTTAGTTTACTAAATTCTACTATTTAAGATTTCACACGTTATCGTGTAATACTGACTTCATGAAAAAAAGTGAAACTTAAATCTGATGTTTGATACGGCTGTGCTCTAGTGATAAGGAAACGCTGGTTTTCTACGAATGAATGATGTTTTGAGCACAGTGGCGCGACCAGAACTGTTTGTCTGCAGTTTTTGCCAGCACCTAGCAGCTGGCCAGGCCTGAAGTAAACAAGATGCCTGCTGGCAAGTTCTCTGAAGATTTAATCAGCATCTCACTTCTCTTGTTGCTACTCATGCAGACAACCAGAGATATCATCACTGAGAGAAGTACATTTCCCAAGGTTTATTCCCAAGCAGCACCCCAAGTAGTGTCGCACCGACCCAGAGGTCTAACAATAACCATGTTAGTGCTGGCCATTTAAAAAGAAAATAATTTTTGGTTTGGATCAAGCCTGGCCCAGAAACCACCCCCAACCCCCCTATTTCTGCTTTGATCTGCCAATTGTAGCAAGGTTTATCTAATGTATTAGTGTTTTCACCCTGGATTATTTCCTCAGTGAGAGGAAAATTAAATGCCAGGAAAAAAAGAGCCCAGAAATACTTACACTGTAAAAATGTAACTGGACTTTTATGGCCTTTCTGATAAAGGTGACCCCTCTTCCTACTGGTCTATTCTGCTGCTCGCTTGTTTTTAGGATTTTTATTTTGTTATTTTGCGTATCTGAGGCCTAGCACTACTTCTGCTGAAACCCCCAAATTCCACATGGAGGAAGATTTGGTTTGCAATAGAAAAGGGAAGGGGAATGAACATTTATACATCTATTTCTTTTTACAAAACAGAAAGAAAATGAACCAACTGCAGGCTTTGCTGAATGACAGTCTTCTCAGAACAAAGCATGTGGAAAACGCAGCTATCATCAACATAAAGGAAAGAAAAGTCTGTGCATCAACCTTTGGCTTTCATGTAAGGGATCAAAAAGCATCCTGGGAAGTGACAGCAGAGGTGGAAACCAGGATTCCAGAGTGCAAAGCAGTGACAGTGGCAGGGAGTGCTGTGCTCTTAAATACGCGTGCTTCCTTCAACCGCGCTGCCCGAGTTACAGGGCTACAGCCTAGCTGCTGTGTTGGGAGGCTGCCTTGCAAAGTTGATTGCTAATTTCACATCTTTGATTTTTGGAAGAAAGGTGCCATCTATTTAACCAGCATTTTTCAAGGAGTTCTTTTTAATCACTTTGCACTCAATGATTCCACCAGTAAAGCAGATGTACCTAGGTCCATTCTCTGGCGCCCAGACCTGCTGGTATGGAGCATGCCATGCATACTATAACCCCAAAACACAGTGGCTGTACCAGGTTGCCTACAAGGAGCAGTCCCGGGCCTTTCTAATTTTGAAAATTGTGCCTTGGATCTGTTTGGGAAAGGGCTTGCTGGCCCAGGCCAAATCTCCACCTGGACTGTTCTGACAGTACTCAGCACTGCTCCCTAGCACCTTAAATTTGCTGATATAGTGGTAGCTTACACTGTTTTCATTGACCATCAGCTGATAAACAGCAGAATAACAGCAATTCTGGTCACATACTATATGGCTGTGATGGTTTGACCGTGGCTGGGCGCGCGGGGGCACACAACCCCCCTCTCCCCCCC